CATATACATCTATTCTTCCTCCATTCATCTCTCAACGGACACCTGGATTGTTTCCATATCCTGGCTATTGTCAATAATGCTGTCATGAGCACAGGAGAGCAGGTTTTTCTCTTAGACCTTGATTTCAATTATTTTTGATACGTCTGCTTCCTTGATTGTGGTGATGGTATCATGAGTGTATCTATAAAAACTCATCAAACTTTATACATTAAATGTGTATAGATTTGTGTATATTAATTATACTTCAATAAGACTCTTTTAAAGTACTTAATCTTGCACAGTAGTGCTCACTACAATATTTTTCCTTCTGACAGTGATGGCTCAACTCATCAGTATCCTATCCAACACGACGCTGATAGGAGTCCACATCCAATGTGTGGTCTCCGGGATAATGTGCCTGGCCCGCATCCACGGTTCCCACCAGCTTCGACTGGGCTCATACCAAATATTCTCGAAAAATACAAAAAACTTTCCAATGGAGATGGTGCCATGAAGCTTAGACAGCTCAAACAGCTGTTGCCCCTAACCCTGGGGCATAGCCAAAGGCTTCATGAGTAGATTTATACTGTGTAGTAATTATAACTGAACTTGAATGCAGTGTAAGTACTCAGTTTCGAGCTGTTCAGGTTTCACAGCACCCTTAAACATGAGAATAATGGCTGGTATTTGTTGAACACTTGCAATATGTTCTTCATATGTATTATTTCACATTATCCTTAAGTAATCCATGGGGTAGGTGTTATTATCTCAGTTTTGCTTATAGAAGACAAAAGCCTAGTGAGGATAAGTAATTTTCCTATGGACAATGGGATGGTACCTGGCAGAGACAAGGTCTGAGCCCCGCCTATTTCAGTCCAAAGGCCAGCTCCCTGACTCTCTGCTGTTCAGCCTCCAGCACAACACAGAGATCTGAAGCAGACTGAAAAAGGGAAAATCATTATGAATAAAATATCCTCACACAACTGACTAATATGTGAGACACACTTAATTCTTACAGAAAAATAAGGATCCTCCAAGTTGCTAGAAATTATTTAAAATGACCAATTCTGACATATAGGGATCCTATTGTCTCACTTTATAAAGATATAAAAATCCAACCTAATTCTAAAATGCAGAGATAACAGTTACATTTTAAGCTCTAAACTTTTCAGGTTTTCCTTCTTAAGACATATATGTTCTAGACAATTACTGAGAACATACAGAGTGTATAAAAAATAAAAATCCCTCATAATTCCACTGCACATCAATAAAATTTGCTATTGTTTTCCTGTGTGTTGTTTCCATCTAATACAGACATTCCAAGTGGTAGAATGCTTCAATAAAAATGTACAAAGCTCTTTTGTTACTGCCTTCTTTTCTTAGTCACATTCTTAACATTTTTGAAACCATGATTCTTAAATCTGGGAGTATATTACATTTCATGATATTTCGTAATTTGTTTAAATATTGTTTTCTTCTTGAGCATTTAGATTTTTGCTAGTTTTTCAGGTAATAATCAAACATGTATGTAAACATATCCATATATTTTTGATTATTTGTCAGGACACATTTTTTTTTCCCAGTGGAATTTCTAGGGCAATAATCTCAACAAGTTTAAGGACTTTCATGAACATTGCCAATTTGCCCCAGACAAACTGTTTTCAACTTATTTAGGTGGTTTGCAAGAGTCTTTATTTGCTCACAGGTTCACCCCACCAGGTGTTTTTAATATCTACTAACATGACAGGCAAAGAATGGTATCTTTTCAATCTTTATAAATTTTGTGTGGGATTGAATTTGTTTTCATAAGTACTTTGGATATTTTAAAATTTGTTCTTCTTTTCCATTTTTATCCCCATTGTGATCCAAGAAACTTTTAACATTTCTTTCTAAGGATATATAAAATATTAAGGTATTAAGCTTAATATCTTCCAAATACTTTCCCAAGTTTTCTGCTTGTAAATTTTGTCTATAAGATGTGTTGATGAACATATTTTTTGTGATAAAGTAGTTCAATTTCATTATTATTCTTTATCTTGTTATTTGTTGAGTTTTTGGTTGTCATTTTATTTTATTTACTTTTTTGCATGTAAGGTCTCATGTACCTTAAAATGAGGTACCTATATAATTTCTTTTTGTGGTTCCTTTAGAGTTTCTCTTTCTACATTTAATTTTATATTAATTTAGAATTAATTGAGGCATATAAAAGGAATCAGGATTTTAACCACATGTATATTTTTTCAAATTAGTTGTCATGTTTATTATTCCTGGTGAATAAATATTAATTTAAAAAGAATGGGCATCCATTAAACCTAATAATCTCATCTAGGGACAGAACATGTCTCTACAATTTTTCATTTTAAATTTTCTTGTTAAAGTTTTATTATGTTCTTATATGTGCTTTGAAACATTTTTGTTGGGCTGGATATTTTATGAATATTTTTCTTATCAACAGGAATAGACTATTTCTCAGATCAAGTTCAAACTAAGTTGTATACCGACATGGGAAACTACTGATTTTGGTTTTTTATGCTATTCCAATAATCTAATTTTAAATTATTGTTAATTTTAAGAAAGTTTTAGTTGAGTAACTTCTGAGTTTTTGTTCATATCTGTTCACATTTGTTCATATTTTTGTTCATATCAATCTGGCAGCTGCAAGCCCAGATTATTGCTGTTAAGTGTGT